GTGTGTGTGTGTGTGTGTGTGAGAGAGAGAGAGAGAGAGAGAGAGAGAGAGAGAGAGAGAGAGAGAGAGAGAGGGGCATCCGTCAGTTGCCTCCACCTTTAGTGCATCACCTGTCGCGTTTGTTTTTGCGAGTGAAGCCACAACAGGTCATCTAGTGTGGATAGATGTCCTTGCAGTCACTGACTGTTGCCTGCAGTGGACTGAGGAAGTAGGAATGAGAGTGAGGGAGGACGAGCACACTCACGCTCACGTTTGTACAGATTTCATTGTGGTACGTGACTGGGACGATGAATAGACATATCAATCTGGAGAGTTCACGCAGCAATTGAACGTTGAACTCACATTACATATGTTGTCTAGCAGTCATGTTTAACTGGTACGTATACCAGGGAGCATCCTAATTTGCGCACCTGCCAGGCAAATCCTACTGAATTCGATAACAACCAGTCACGGTTTGGCCTAAAGCCACCCAGTAACCCAACAGGGGAATCAGCCTGCGTGGGTGGCCGGGCGGCCTCTCAAGCAGGCCCAGGGCTCCCCAGACCTGGGTGGCCAGCTTGATATCCTAGCCACAGCAGCGCTTCGCACCTTGTGGGTTAGAGTCCCACTGGCCATACGCCAGAAACGAAGAGCGTGACAGGTGGCAATATTCAACGCAGGTCTGCAATGCTTTGTAGGCTAGTCGGTAGGTAGGTAGGAAGGTGGGTGGGTGGGAGCGGGCAGGCAGGCTGACAGGGGCAGGTGGGCGAGTAGGCAGGCAGGCAGGTAAGTAGGTAGGTAGGGTAGGTAGGTACGTAGGCAGGGAGGTACGCATGTAGGTAGGCCGGTAGGCTGGTAGGTAGGTAGGTATCTTTGTATCTCCACCGCATCATTTTGGTTAGAATGGTTTCTTTACAAACAATTGTAATGGGCGCGGCTTTATTGGTTTCTCTGATGCTTTTGGAGTTAGAAAAAAAAAAAAAAAAAAAAGAGTATATTTAGTATTAGCTAATTCTATCACACAGTGCTCGAAATTTGGGAGTTGCTTTTTGGCTTTGTGTATCTCTGATGCTTTTGGAGTTTTGTGGATATTGAATTTTTCGTGACTGAAAAACATCCAGGAAAGCGGAAAAGCGTTTGCAACTTTCAAACATCGGGATGACTTTTCTGGATGCCGTTCCTGATGTGTGTTTTCTTCACTTTTTTGTGTTTTCTTTCGTCTTTTTTTTTGTCCCTCAGATATCCACGAAGACAACAATGCTTGTTGCAGGCAATGACGCAGGACCTACAAAGCTAAGGAAGGCAAAGCAGCTTGGAATCTCTCTAGTCACAGAAGAGTCCTTCCTGAAGATGCTTGGGTTGAACTGAAACTGATCATCCCCCCAGTCCATCTTTCAACAATCCTGGTAGACTACTAACCACCGCAGCAACCACCATTCCCTATTCAAAAAAGAGGATGACCATAATGATCTCTGTGTATGTTTCTGTGTCTGTGTATGTGTGTGGCTCTGTCTGTGCATGTGTGTGCG